TCTCCTCTCTTTGTGTCAATTTTTATCGGAGACGGGCGTTCATCACTGCCGTGGGAGTGTGACCTCCTGACTATCAGGTCCGACAGACGGTCATCTGTGTGTAGCGATTAGCCGCTTTTCTCTCGCACACAGGCGACCCGGGTTCGATTCACGAGTTAGGATAAATTGTTATCGAGTATCTCACCTTTCAGTTAAGATGTTGTATCCCTCCCATCCCAAGTTGGCTATGACAGGCTGGGTCTAAAGCCCGCCTTCTAAATGATCTAATTTGGGTCGATTAGGGTGTGAAAAACCCCTACATTAACAAAAGAAAAGAACATTTCTGATAGGAGGAGGAAGGAGGAATCACACAGTTAACAACACCATAGGTCAAAGTAAAATAGAGGAAGAGGTATGCAACTATATAGATCTACAAGTATACCTTTTATGAAATTATATATTATGGCTTTGTGGTGAAATCAGTCGCTCGTCAGAATCAAGAAATTGAAAAAACCGACATTTTCCGCCCTTTAGTCAGTTTGTAAGGAATTATTTATGATCTCAGCACTTTTATGATTTTTAAAAAACACATTTCTGTATGAGTTTAAATGAAAAATATTGATCAAAGGTACAAAAGTGTGCAGTTTCCAATGACACTCAAACTTTTGGAGACACTATAAATTGGCGGCCGTTTTCTCACTATTTTTACCTCTGGCACCAGGCAACCCCTATTCCTTCACTCGCAAATACCTCGAGTTCTATTCAAGAAAGATGGGCATCTTTTCATCAAAAGCATTTAATTTTCATAGCTTTATTTAGTCGGCATGTTCTAAAAATGATGTCCTTTCCTTGCTTGTCCTTACTCCCACGCATGCGGAGTCAGCCAGTGAATACTTTGAAGTCGTATAACGAGGATGTTTAAGTATAGAGAGATCTTTTGAGACGTCTTGGTTTCCTTCTGATTATAAAGGAATTTTTGTCTTGTTTGAGACGTCTTGATTTCCTTCTGATTGCAAAAGAATTTTTTTTTTTAATTCAAATGATGCGTAAGAGGTCTTACCTAGGGTAGTTAACTAGAGGCTTCTTTGTAAAAACTGATGTTTCATTGTTACCGCGCAGCATAGGCCTGAAATATAATATCCTGGACATGACACTGCAATGCCCACGGCTCTTTGCTTTTTTTTTGGGGGGGTGGGTGGTGCTTTGTTTTGTTTAAAGGAAACATCATTGCACTGTTGCGTAACACGAGGGTGCCAATGTGCAGAATTCCTTTTGGACCAACTACAAAATTCCTTTTGGACCAGTAAATACAAAATTCTTTTTGTTCAGTAACTACAAAATTCCTTTTGGGTCAGTAACTCTAATTTTTTGGGGGGACTGGTAACTATATAATTCCTTTTGGGACTAGTTACTACAAAATTCCTTTTGGGCCTATTAAAGATGGGTTCCTTTTTGAACCAACTTTGTTCGCCAATTTCTTGCTTTAATTTTGAAACCGATTTGTCACGTTGCTTATTCAGTTTGCCAGATGAAGTCTTTTGAAATAGATAAGATTTATGATTCTAAAGGTCTGCTGTCTATTTGTAGGAATTCGAGCAGAATAAATGTTTCAGGTTTATGTCATTGTGCAACTGGGTTTTAATTTCTTTTGTTGACCAATTTTCAATGCAAATGTTTCTGGGTGTTCTAGGGTCTGCTGGGGTATTGATATAGTTCATAGATATTACTGTCGAGCGAAGCTATGCATTATACAAATGCCATTTATTATTACTTTTATTAATATCTATCGTAAAAATAAGACCACTCTTTTGACAGGAATTTCACTACTCAGGTCCAGGAAGTGTCCCATATTATGGATATTTTCACAGGCGAAAATCAGCCATTCTCCTTCCCTCCTCCCCCCTCCTCCCTTTTGCGA